AGACTTCACTTTTAGAAGACTCCAGTGTCTGGATTTGTGAAAATATTTACTTTACAGCCAGCTATGGTGTGTGAGTTTCAAGGTCTCAGTGTTTTCGAGCTAGCCAGGTGCAGGGGTGAGGAGGAGCGAGACCCGGGCACTTGACCCAAGCTGGCCAACAGGATTATTTCATACCATCAACATCACATTCACTACAAATTAGAAAGTTTGCCGCGAAGTTCTCTCTCTCCCTTGATGGCTGCCTTCCTGAGAACTTCGTGCCCTGGTGCCGTGTGGCGGATTGAAAGACACGGACTCCGATATGCAGGATCGAAATCAGCTTTATTTAAGCAAGCGTGCTCTTTATATACTTTTCTACCAAGGTCAGTAATTTTCTACTTTACTTATTTATACCATCACGTATTCTAAAAGATCACGTTCCCACTGAAAAGGGAATCTCTCCTCCCTGTGAGCAGCACCTCCTTATCTAGGGAGTCGCTTCACACAACTTCCTCATCTGCCAAAACAGTGCTGCAGCTGCTTATTCCTCCCATGGCTTATGGCCTATTAGTTCTACCACACTTAACCTGTCTTTTGCCTCAGTCCCCACATCTCCCCCTTTCTTGTTTTGTTGAACAATTAGCACTGTGTTTATTGATTTTTCCACCGTTCTCTGCGTACATTGTAAAAGGCATGGTATACATATTAAAATGCATAAAAAGATCAGCAAGCACCCTGCGGCTAGCTTCAGCAGCTGCTTTGCCCAGCTTCCCAAACCCAACCCGCCAAACATATCGCTGAACCATCCCCACTCATTGTCGTCCTGGAGTTTAGCAGCCCCCTCTTTCAGCTTCCGGATGCTTTCGTGGATGGACAGGGAATGATCCGAGAGGTTCATACAACACTTTCCGTCAAATTCGTCGCATCCGTGGCCATGGGCTAATAGCAAAAAATCTATTTCTGCGTGGTTCTGCAAAGTAGCATGTCTAACCAAATCTACATCCATTAATAAGCTAGATAGAGCCAGTGACACGGCATTGCTCTGTTTGGCAAGCCAGCACCCTAATTTATTCAATGTGGCCAAAGCCTGCAAAGCGGCAACTCCTCGTGCAAGTATAGAGGCCGTACTTATCTCCCCTTTACTCCAAAACTCCACATTATCGTTGCATTCACTCTGAAAGGCGTGGGCTGATCGTTTGGGGCGTCAATGATGCTTTGTAAAATTCAGTATCATTGATGTATTTGGGGTCAACAGCGTAAGTCTTCCCAGACTACAGGGCCCTCCCCTTATATGTGAGGGTATACCTCCCCAAGCTCGATCACCACAGATGAAGAAGAGCCCCCGCGGGAGCTGTAAAGGCACATTGCTGGAGCAGGAGACAGTACTGCTGGTATAGTTGCACCAGGCCGTGTCATTTCTATATATCGACAGAGAAGAATTAACATTCTGAGCTGTAGATGGATTCTGGCCAGTATAATTAAAAATTAAACAGCTATCCATTTTAATTGAGCCTAGGAGTTCAATCTCCTGCAGCTCATGGGGCAGGGGTGGCAAGTAAGGAGCCCACCCATCCCGGTTATCAGCCAAAGCCGATGAGTTTCCGAAATGCCTTGCTTGATCATGGCTTGGCCAGTTGTCCGCTGGGACACCGACTAGACATGTCGAAAAGGCGTTTCCTGGGGTAGCCAGCAAAAGTCACAGGGTGTCCTGGCCGGTTTTGTTTGCCAAAGTTACCCAGATGTTTTCTTTGGGTGCCGGTGGGATCCATATACCATCTCCTGGTTCTGCTGTCATCATGACGACGAGGATGACTGCAGCGAAAGTCGGACCCATCTCGCTGGGACCCATCTTGGTCCAGTATCTGTGGAGACACAAGCATATCCTCGACCCCAAGTTATCAGCGGGTACGGACCTTCCCATTGGTTATTCATCATATTTTTGATCATCACCTGTGCTTTCTCCCGTGGAGAGACTGCTTGCAGTCTCTCCGAGAGAGAGGTAAAGTGGTTTATCATGGCCGGCTCAGATTCCCAATGGACATGATTAACAAAATAACAGCTATGTCCCCACCTACTAACAAAAAGGAAACACTGTATTGGAGGCCTCTTAGAAGAGGGGTAGGGGGGGAGCATCTGTCAGTCCCATCTAGGGTGCCCCACATCCCCAGTAGCCAATTCAGCCTAAACCACAACACCATCCCTGGCGGTACTTAAAAGATGTGTTGATATGTTGCTGAGTGACATGGTTTTAGTGGTGGACATGGCAGTGTTAGGTTAACAGTCGGACTCGATGATCTCATGGGTCTTTTCCAACCTAAATGATTCAATGACTTTATTGCTTCTACCACCTTCACTCTTTTAATCTTCTGGAAGATACCTATAGGCCACAGGGAAACATTGTTTTCTCAGTACAATTTTTTTCTTTTAATTTCTTAGAAGAATAGCAAGAACTCTGTATTCATAGAATGGTTTAGGTTGGAAGGGACCTTGAAGATCATCTAGTTCCAACCCCCCCTGCCATGGGCAGGGACACCTTCCACTAGACCAGGTTGCTCAAAGCCCCATCAAACCTGACCTTGAGCACTTCCAGCAATGGGGCATCCTCAACTTTTTTGGGCAACCCGTTCCAGTGTCTCACCACCCTCACTGTAAAGAATTTCTTCCTTATATCTAATCTAAATCAACCCTTTTAGTTTAAAACCATTACCCATTGTCCTGTCACTACAGGCCCTGCTAAAACATCTCTCTCCATCTTTCTGCTTTATGTATTAAAAGGCCCCAATAACATCCAGAGCCTGATATTTAATAAATATCTCACTTTCAGAATTTAGTATTGTTCACATTTGATTTCATTTTAGTAGTCTAATGAACCAAGAAATCACTAAAGGAGTTTAATTAAGAACATTACAAATCCAACTTAAAAAAATATGGCTATCAAACAATTATGTAGTATGCAAGTGTAACTGCGATTCTAGAACAGTTAAGCAATGTTATCAGATGCAAATACTTTCACAGGCAAGCCACCAGACAGAAAAAATACTAACAATTTTTTAATATTTGAACTTGGTAATACATCTACAGATGTAACTATATAGTTACTGTACGGGACCAAAGTAACAACATGCACCAGGTGTGCTAACAATTGTATGTCTGATTTCCTGAAACAGCAGAAGAATCTGTCTAAATATTTCACAGAAGTTTCCTGCTTTCAAGTTTTAATGATTCCTGGTCTAAATTTTTACTTTTAAATATCCTCATTCTTCTACACAGAAAAGACTCCACAAAAATAGGTAATTATATCATTTATTTTTCAGCCAGAAATACATTTTCATAGGTAATTTCAATAAATGGTGGTGTTTATTCCTTAGACAAAAGCTCTATCTCTTTGGCATCTGACCATATTCTGTTTTTCAAACTGAAGACTCCATAGGAAAAGTTTACTTTAGAGATCATTGTTCAATACATTAAGTTTACAGAGTTGCAGTTAATTCTTTAAAATAGACATCAGTTGTAAATATTCTAATAAGCCAGAAAATGTTAACCAAACTAGTAAAAACATAGTCTACTGGGCTCCTCTTCACTGCCTTTGGTTACAATTGTGGAGAAAGTGGCAGAATGAAAAGAACTCGTAATTTTCCCCAACACACGCACACTGACTAGTGCTTGCTATTTATGCTGAAGGAGAAACAGAAAACCCCCTGAATTGTACCAGAAACAACTGATGAAATAAGTTATGTTTCAAAACAACATGATCTTAATTTTAACTTCTAAATAAGTAAACCAAAACAAATTTGCACACTGCTTCAGTAATAGATTGCACCTAAAGTGTTTAAAAATTAAAGTTTTTAGACATAAGTTACTAACATGTTTTAAATATATCTAAGAATACAGTGTTAAAACTGCATTTGATGTCATATTTGGACAAAAAATTCTTAAGCAACAGATTAAGCCAGTGTATTCAATCTACTCTGTTGAATAATACAGAATCAGCTCTTCAGGGCTGGTATAGAAACTTGCACTCCATCCAAAAATCTGCCTTCCAGATCATAAGAGTGTTCACTGCTTCAAATAAACTAAGTTTCCAAAGCAATACTAGAGTTATTTGACATCTTCCATTACTATACTATATAGAAATAATGAATTAAAATTAAAAACTTTATTGACATACTGATGCAGACATTCTAATGTGTTTACTGGAATCTGAAGTGAATCCTTGTTTACATGTCAAGACAATGTAAAAAAATAAGTTGTATTAACAAAAAACATCTAAACCCTTCACTCTCAAAAATATTTTTTAGTATTCCAAATACTTATTCCAAACTAGTTTTATAAAACAGGAGGCAAAACAATTACTTCCATGCAGAAAATAAAACATAATTTAAAAATAATAGGTTTAGAATAGCAAATGAACAAAGGTTTATTTTATGAGTGAATTTCCTCCTCACCACCAGTGCAAACCCAGTTTCAAAGTATTTGAATGGGATGGTTTAAAGTAACAAGTGATCCAATTTAGCCAAGCTCACATTTCTTCTCATGATATAAAAAGTCATACATACATTTTGTTGTAGAATACAGTAAGAAGCAAAAAGATAACTTGAGTACTTATCCAAGAGCAATTTCTAACATCAAGCCAAAGTTAGCAACAACCAGACCATCAATTTTTCAGTATTAAATTAACATAAATACTAGATAACTGTACAAAAAAAAAAAAAAAAAAAAAACAAACCCCCCAAACCACCCCCAAACCTAAAAGCCTTTTCTTTGTTAAAAGGTGTCCAAAGAAATATGCACCAGCTGCAGTCAAATTTGCATTAGAAGCTGCTTGCTTTGGAAAGATATTTTTTCTCCTCCAAGTATTTGTAACACAATGCACTGTCAAAATTCTATTCAAATAAATTACTTTCTAATAACATTTAGCTGATAACACCTACACTGTAGACAGTCATGTACACAGTATGACAGTGGATTTTTGCAGCAATAGAGAAATAAACAGAAAATGGTTCTAAATTCTAGATTATAGTTCATGTGTTATTTCTTGCAAACATATAGTCCCCTCTAAGGGTAAGGTGTTGAAGCTGGTATTGTAGCATGTCTGTGTCAGCAGGTTCCTTGATACTCATTTTGTCTAAATTTAGGTAGTCCAGGGATTTAGAGTGAGCCCTTTTACCTTTTAAAAGACAAAGAGGCAGGGGACCATGAAGTACCTTGTAAGGTTCATATGGTAAAGCCTTAGTGCATTTATCTCCCAAGCTGGACATCTGTCTCCTCCTCCTCCCATTTACTGCTGGGATCTCATATGGGTGATAGTACCTACTTCTAGTTTTGTACAAGGGGGAGGAAGCAAGTCCTGAATCAAGCTGTTCAGAGTGCAAGTTAGGCCTGGATTCTCCTTTATTATCTTCATTTCCTGTATACTGTTGGGCTAATTTTAGCAGCTCCTCTCCAGTCGCGAAGCCAACCAGGTAGTTAGAATCCATATGAAGGATCTGATAGCCTGAAACTGTCCGTCGCATTGGTGAGCAGGGGGTACTGGAACATCGTGGTTTCTCTGCTTCTGTTTTGCCTGCAGAACTGATCTCTGCAAGATGTACAGGGGGGGTAGATATGGTAGTTCTGGACTCTCCGTTTATGTCCATTTTAAGCAATGTGCTGTTCTCCTAAAAATGGAAGGGATTTATCACAAATAGAGCCTTTAGCCAATAAAGGAGCTGAGAGAGGACCTCAGAAGTCAGATATTTATTTTTTTTATCACCCAGAAACCATAACCAGTACTTCTCTATTCAGTTTTCTCTTATACTCTATAGAGTGTCTCATAACAAAACTATCACTGATATCTGCTTTTAAAAATTATTTTAGTCTCCATTTTAATAACGAAGTCTATAAATATATTCTCAATATTCTTCACACTGTGAAGAGGAAGGAGCAGCAGAGTACAAGAGTCAGGAGCAAAGTTGAGCCCAGGAAAAGGGGAGGGGTGGAGGGAAGGTGGTGGTTTTAGATTTGTTCTTATTTCTCATTATCCTGCTCTGTGATTAATTGACAATAAATTAATCTTTCCCAAGTCAAGTCTGTTTTACCCGTGATGGTAATTGGTGTCCTTATCTCAACTCACGAGCTTTTTCATCTTATTTTCTCACCCTGTCTTGCTGAGAAGGGGGAGCAAGAGAGCAGCTTGGTGGACACCTGGCAGCCAGCCAAGGTCAACCCACCACAGGCACCAAAAGGCAGGGGGTGAGGCACAGACAAGTTGGGACATGCCCAAGGACTATGAACCTCTCCTAGGAATCACACCAAGGGACCCCCTGGGAAAATCCTGTCACATACAGAGAAGAGACCAATCCTGTGAGACGGACTAAGAAGCTCCTGCATCTGGGGCCAGCCCAACAGGATGACAATAGTGTTACTAGGGTGAAATTTGGGCTTTGTGCAGTCCTGCAAGGCACAGGCAATGCTGGCTGCAGAAAGGGAAAACCAGAACAAAATGCCAACTTCAGAAAAACATGTGTGTGAGGAAAATAAGAAAGAGACCCTAAGGCATTCGTAAAAAAGGCCACACAAACCAGAAAAACTGGCCAATGAGCCTGTGAACCACAAACTGGATTTTGACTTGCCATACAGAGACCTTTGCCCATGGTTGTGAGGGATCTTACAGCTACTACCTGTATCGTGGTTTGGCCTCAGCCAGCAACAAAGAACCACGCAGCCGTTCGCACAACTCCCACAGTCGTGGAAAAAGAAATCGACAGGGCAAAACTCATGGGTTAAAATAATGCAATTTAACAGAACAGCAAAAGGGAAGATGAAAACGCGATTACAGTACCGCCACGAAGCGCACCGACCGGACCCGCGCCACCAGTGCAAACCCAGTGTCAAAGTATTTGAATGGGATGGTTTAAAATAACAAGTGATCCAATTTAGCCAAGCTCACATTTCTTCTCATGATATAAAAAGTTTTTTTGATGAAAAAATTCACGTGACAAACAAGCTTGCTCAAATGTGTTTGGGACCACAACCGGGCCTGCCACCAAATCTGCCTGTGCATTGCCTTCCGCAATGGGGCCTGGAAGGTTAGTATGGGACCGCACATGCATGATAAAATATTTGCCCGGCCGCCAATTCAATAAAAAACAACAATTCCCTCATAAGAGTAAACAATTGAGGATTGGCGGCCTCCTTTAAAAAGGCAGATTCCATTCTGCTGACCAGGCCAGCAACATAGGCTGAGTCGGTGACAATATTGAGATCTGTTGGCCATCAGTGAAAGGCTCGGACTACTGCCACCAGTTCGACAATTTGAGGAGAGCCGTGGACCACTTGGACATCCTGCTGCCAGGGAGCCTCAGCATCCGATCGCCAAACGATGACGGACCTTCCGATGCGGCCAGAACCGTCAGTGAAAACCATCAATGCCTGCAAGGGGGTAGCACTAAGCTTTGTTCCCTTAAACACGGGGAGACAAGGCAACGTTTGTAACAGGGGGTGCTTGGGTAAGTGAATCTTAAATTGGCCTGTGAAATTTTCAGTCGCAACTTGAAATGTAAATGAGCATTTCAACAGCCATTCTAGCTGTTTGAGATCCATTGGTAGGTAAATGTGAGCTGGATCCTGGCCATCCAGGAGCAGTAGCCTCTCTCTTCCCTTTTGAATCAACATACTAATCATTTCGGGTTGGGTGATGACTGTCTTAGAAAACTGGTGCATCAGAAACAGCCACTCAATGATGATCAAAGGGTCCAGAAAGTCCGGATTCCACTGTGCTATTAAGGCAAAGGGCTGAAATGGAGAGTTAAAAACAATTAGACTGAAAGGGACGTGCTCCGCTCTACGGTGGGCCTTCCAGCTGGCTATGTGCTATGCAATGGTGCGCAAAGCTGATTCGGCCACAGTGGTGAGGGACCGTTTAGATGTTAAAGCGGGGTCCTCCTTCAGCAAGATGAAAAGAGGGTGTGGGTCTTCATTGGTGAGGCTGGCTCCGGGGGAGATTAACCCCATCCCTGCCGGAACCAGGACAACCTGTAAGACCATTATTGGATGCAGGCTAGTGCTATACATTGTTAGGAAAAACTCATTCTCTAAGTATTATACCAACTAGTCTTTATAGTATGAAATCGTATTAACTTTCTTAAGATATATATAGTTTACACTGTATAATGAATAGCCACGCAAGCAAACTAAAGGACACCAGCTCATCACAAGGAGGAGAAAGACAGCCCTGCTCTGGAGATAAAAACTTTACTTCTTGGAATCTCAAAGTTGTCCATGATGGATAAAAGATACACCTGGACAACCAAGATAATGGCAGCATCCTAGCCCCTCTAACACCTCTGTGAAATGCTCCCATTGTCTGGCATCTGTCGTGGTTTAACTCCAGTTGGCAACTAAGCACCACACAGTCGCTTGCTCACACTCCCCTGGTGGGATGGGGGAAGAGAATCAGAAGGGTAAAAGTGAGAAAACTTGTGGGTCAAGATAAAGACAGTTTAATAGGTAAAGCAAAAGCCACACACGCAAGCAAAGCAAAACAAGGAATTCATTCACCACTTCCCATCAAGCAGGCAAGTGTTCAGTCCATGTCCAAGAAAGCAGGGCTCCATCATGCATAACGGTAACTTGGGAAGATAAATGCCATAACTCCAAGTGTTTCCCCCTTCCTCCTTCTTCCCCCAGCTTTATATGATTAGCATAGCATCATATGGTATGGAATATCTTTTTGGTCAGTTGGGGTCAGCTGTCCCAGCTGTGTCCCCTCCCAACTTCTTGTGCACCCCCAACCTACTCACTGGTGGGGTGGTGTGAGAAGCTACGGTGGTGCAACCCCTCCACACACACACACCCTTTATGCCTCACGGTACTTGGCGTGATGTCTTCCCTGAGCCTGGGGAAGCCTGAGCCATGTAACAATACAAGGGACCAGAACATAACACAATAGTCTAACACGAAAGAAAGAAAAGGTGGAGAGCAAAAGACCAGAGCACAATAGTGTGCCTGGTCCCCATGGCTCCTACTGTTTGAAGATAATAACTATAATTGATCACTCCTGACAACATATGGACTGTGGTCACAG